CCCACCCTCTTTCTTCTTGGATCTGAATGCGACTTTCGACTCTGTCGACCGCCTCATACCCTGGCACTGCCTCTCCCAAGGGTGTGCCCGAGAAGTTTATTCCAATATTACAATCCGTTAATAACCGTTAATAACCGAAGTCGAGTCCGGACTTACGGCACCTTTTCACCCGAGTTCACCACGGAAAGTGGTGTTCGTCAGGGTTGCCCTCTCTCTCCTTTTCTATGTAACTTTGTTATAGATTTGATTATGGAGATAACCTCGTGAGAGGCTAGTGGCATCGATTTGCTCCCAAATAAATGTGGTGTGCTCTTCTGTGTAAGAGTCGTGCCTTCAGAACCCCCTAATAGGACCGTTTTCATATGCTCGAAATTCACTCGACCGGAAGAATGATTGCATAAGAAGTGGTTGAGTTTATCCACTCAACCAAATCGAATGAATAGATAAACGGTTAATCGGTTAAAAAAAACAGCAATTATTTGGCAAAAGAGCAAACCTTTAGCCTCCACCTCACGCCAAGCAGCATCCCATTGAAATTTGTGCAATCCGATCGCACTGAGAGCCTGTATCTCGGTGAACACGGATCGTTCGTGCCGCAAGAACTTGGCCCACCAATGATCAAAGTGACCCTCAGTTCCGCCAAAAGTAAATCGGACGAATGGATTATTTTCCAGTGGCTTGGAAACAGCTGCACATCTGCACAGAATTATTAGGGATATGCCCGGGTAGGGAGGTGGCATGGTGAAAGGGCATGTAAAAAGAACAATAAATTTCCTTCGTCGGTTCAGCAAAAATGTACAGGTAAAATTTGATAAGTGCACACCACAGAATAAACGTTTTTTTAGAAGTAGAGATAACACTTTCAGGTTACGGAAGAAACAGCATTACCAGGCAATTGGCACTTGAACAATTAAGGATACAAAATTGTCTGCAAGGGGGTGCACGAATTGTGAATAACTAGTTGTTTTCTGTTATCCTTCAACTAGGCTCGAGCCTTGGAAANTACGGGCGGTTATTTAATTGACCACGATAGCATCATTTGTCAAGCAGCCACCTAGGTAGATGCAACATTCCGCCACAGTTAATCCCTAACCATCAAGCATCAGCGCCGGGATAGACGACACCCAGTCTTACAGCACCACTTTACACGTTGAAGGTGCAAAGCGCATGCCGAAAGGAGTTACAGAACTTGAAGGTCTGTCAAGAGCGCTTCGCGCATCCTCCTTACATTTCAACAGGCAAAAGATGTCAGCGTACTCCAAATCGCACAGCTTTTCACCAGCCGCCCGTTTAATCCCTACGTTTTGGAGACCAATAAGTGGGTTTTCTAGTATTTTGTCTACCACAAAATTGAACGGGAATGGCGAAATAGGGCATCCTTGACGAACACCACTCCTGGTTTCGAACTTACCTTACTTAGCACACCGTAGACCATTGCGCAACCAGAAGTATGCAGGTTCAGTGACCGCAAAAGGTTTACAACTCCTGCGGTATTCCTTTGAGGAGCAGCGACCCCAGAAGACCTTCACAATCAACTTAATCGAAGGTTCCTTTTAGGTCAAGGAACACTGCGATTGTTGGCCGACGATGTGTGCGACGCAGAGTGAAGATTTGCTTGATGCACCCGTGACCTGGTCGGAATCCGGCTTTTTGTTCGCGGATATTCCTCTCCCTTAAGGGTGTCAGGCGGCGAAGTATCACAGAAGCCAACACTTTTGTGATTATCGGAACTAAACTAATCCCACGGTGGTTACCGCAGTGGTTACTTAAAGATAGGGACGATTAACGATTCACCCCAGGTCAAAGGGATACGCTCCTCCGTCCTAATGCTGCGAAGTAAGCTAGTAATTGAGTCGACAAGAGAATCTCCGTCCACCTTGAAAAGAATAGGGAGAAGCCCATCAGGTCCCGTAGTCTTCCCTTTCTTCAATGATTGATTGCAGCTTCGTACTTCCAATTACGATGGGAGCTCACATGCTACCACCTATGAGGTTTCCGTCGCAATTGCT